CAAGTCCCGCGGTAGCGCGGAGATGTACTTGAACGGTTCGAGCCAAAATGGCCACGGAAGGAGCTGGTGGGATGAGCGGGAAGAGGCGGTGGGGGAAACGAAGTTTGAGAAGGAGGGGCAAGGATATGACATCGGGATGAGTAGAATGGGGGGGGAGGGGGAACGAGGGGCAGGAGGACGAGGCTGTGGAGTAGGAGGGATTTTCCGCATTGGTAGAATGGTTGCCCCCCCCCTTCCCAAATGCCCCGCAGGACACTGGGAAAAGAGAACAAGGAGGGGGCTAGCGGACGGCGACAGCGCTTGAGCCAATATGGCAACAAGGAGGGAGAAGAGGAGGAGGAGGAGGAGCAGCAGGAGGAGAAAGCACACGGGGTAGCAAAGAGCAGAACGAGGATGAGGAGCAGGAGGAGGAAGAGGAGGAATATTCATTCCTGCGGGTGGCGGCCCTGTCATCCAGAGCAAACTTCGACGAAACGGCCGAGCCACCTGGCTCGAAAACAGGTGCGAGCGGCGCATCGTCTTCTTTGTTGCTTCCTCCTTCCTGCCTCATTCCTCCTCCTACCTGCCTTCCCCTCCTACCTCCTCCTTTACCTCCCCCTCCTCTTCCCCCCTCCTCCTTCCTCCTCCCCCCCTGTTGCTCTTTACTTATTGGCGTCGTCCTCTTCTCCTTCAGCTTCCTCCTAGTGATCCCTCTCTTCCCCCTCCTCCTCCTCCTCCTTCTCCGCCTCCTCGCGCGGTGCGCCGCTCGAAAAAAGTAGTGCGGCGGCCTACAGGCCCAGAATCTCTGTGAAGCGGCCCAACGCCGCTGGCCTCTCCTTGTACATGGATGATCCCGCGGCCTGCGCCGCGAGGTACTCTGTGTTGTAGTTCGAAATCGCACGAGCCACATCCTGGCTGACCGCCTGGATGGGAGAGGGAAGATGAGGAGGTCCGCCTCATCATCGACCCCCTCCTCATGGTCCGCCTCCTCCTCCTCCTCCTCATCATCACCTTCATCATCTAATTCCTGATCCGCTTCATCACCCCCTTCCTCACCTAAGTCGTGATCCGATCCATCCCTACCGTCCCCAACCGCATCATCATCATCCCCCCTATGCCCTGCCATCGTTGCCATCATCGTCATCATCGTGAACACCTCCTTCCTCCGATCCCGTCCTCGTCATCCACGCCCGCACGACCCTATCATCTTCCCCTATAGCCTAATCGTGTTCTTGATCATCGTATTCGTCATCGTCATTCTTGTCTTCGTGATATTCGTAGTCATGCAGGTCATCCTCATCAACGTCCTAGCCTCCCTCATCCTCACCATTCGCCTCACCGTCTTTCCCCCATCCCCTGAAGTTTTTCATCGCCATCTCATTATCCCTAGGTTATCCTCAGTCTCGTCGTCATCCTAATGTGTTGATTCCTGATCCAGACTACCATCCTCATGAACGTCCTATGCCTCATTTTCATGTTCTCCGAAACCCCATCCTCGTTCATTGTCTAATCGATCCTCCTCCTCCTTCTCCTCTTCCCCCCCCTCCTTACGCTCATCCGCCCTCTACTCCCACCTCATCTTCCCTCCTCCTCCCTCTTCCTTGGTCCTCGTCCCTTTATCCCCTAGGAGCGGTGGGTGAAGGAGAAGGAAGAGAAGGAGGAGGAGGGCGAGAGGATCAATGGTCAGGGCGGGGTAACTTAGGCCGGAGGAGGAGGAGGACTCGTTGGTTTGGGTCGGAGGAAGTGGAAGATCGAGGATGAGAGGGGGCAGGAGGAGGAGGAGGAGTTTGAAGCACGGCGCCGTCTTGGCGTTCTCCGCGTGGAGCAGCGGCAGCACGATGAGATGGCTCAGCGGCATCTTCTTGGTCTGCTGGAGCTCCAGCGGGTGGTACAATGGCATGATCATCGTGCCCATCGGCACGTGCAGAATCTCACCAATCTTCAAATGGATAATCTTCGAGCCTTGGATGCAGTTGCTGCCCTCTTCAGTCTCAGCGAACTTCAAGAAGTCCTTGAGCGACACGCCGTTCTGCAGCACTGTCGCCGCCTCGTGGCACATGATGTGGGTATCCTTCGTGCGTGCAATCACCATGCACTCGAAGCCCACGAGAGGAACGGACGCTGGACCCCAGCGAGGGCAATCGGCCTTGATCGTCATCAACCACGGCGATGCACCACCCGTACAAAGCTCGAAGTAGCCGTCGCCCAACGCCTCCACGTCGGTAACCACCCAGTCGCTCGTCACGCGACCCAGGCAGCCTAGCCAGTTCTGGCCTTTGGTGTCGAATGAGGTGTCGTGAACATTGATCTTGTTATTGATGGCCTCGGAGTTAGTCTGAATCATCCTGGAGACCGCATTGTGCACCTCAGAATTTGGGTCGCTCCACGCCGTGATCTTGAAGGGGTCGACGCTGCTGCCATTCAGTGCCACGGAGCCCTGGAACAGCAGAGGTTTCTTCAGCTTGCCGCCCTTGGCGCAGGGCTCGCTGACCAAGGACTTCTTCTCGGCGTCCCCCCTCATGGAGTAGATCGTCCTGGAGATGTTGTCGGCGAGCTCCTTCGAGAAATTGCATTTCATCAGCCTGCGCATTATCTTGATGCGCTTGTTGTAGTGGCTCATGTACTCGATCTGCTTGCCGTGTCCGCCCTTCTCGTTGAGATACCGAAGGCCGTCCAACTGAGTATACACCTGCTTCTTCGTCTTCTCGATCTCGTCTATCTTGGAATGAAGCCTAGCAGAAATCTCTGCGAAGCTCGACTTGTTGCAGTCAGCACCGAGCCTCTCGACACCTTCCTGAATCTCCTGCGCAATACTGCTGATGCTCTTGATCAGCTCGTCGGTCGGCATGTCAAGGTCTTTCTGCGCCTCGGTGCCCACGGCGTCGCTGGCGGCCCTTAGCTGGGACACGTAGCCCGACCCAGTAGACATGAAACCAGCGTGCACGTGGGACGCCATCTCACTCCAGTGCCGCTTCACCTCCATGAACACGACGGGCTCCATCTTCTCGATGTCCTCCAGCGTCGGCGCGACGCGCTCCCTGGTGGCGTCGTCAATGTTGATATCCGACTTGGGTTTGAAGAGCTTGGTCTTGCCGCCCTTCTCAGACGGCGCCCCCTTCTTCAACTTCGTGCCGTCCTTGCTTGTGTCTGGAGCCTCAGCTTCCCGAAGCGTCTCGCGAGGCGACGTCGCCACACCGACCGTGGAGGCGTCCAAGGTGTCCACGCTGTCGGCCCTGGAGCGGCCGTCGCCGAAGGTCAGGTAGTGCTCGGCTGAGCGGGCGTTGGTCGGAACATGCGACGGCGGCATTCGACCATCGCAGGACGAAGCAGAAACCGACGACTTGGCCATGAGGCGCCTGCGTTTCACCTCCGCATCGAACGCAGACGTCTCCATCTCCACCTGCATGCTGCAATTGGACTTGGACTCGCCTTTGGACGTCCTGATGCGGCCGATGTCCTTCGTAGCTATCTTCTGCAACACTTTCACCTCAACGTCTTCCACCCACGTCACGTCGTACTTGCCCTTCTGCTCTGCGTGAATCCGTTCAAACTCAAGCGTGCTCTCCTCATCTGTCTTCCTGTGCCAGAACCCCTCGAACGCCATGAACTCCGTCCGAGAGACGATAATGTCGTCATCGATCCCCTTCTGAGTCTCTTTCGATTTCGTCTCCGTCACGGTGAAGAACCTCTTGGTCACCTCCCTGGCGCTGTCCCTCGCGACCCTGGCAGGGTCGATCCAAGGACGGATGCGTTCTTGCCAAGCGGGACGGTCGAGCTCGAAGTCCTGGTTCATTTTATCAACCACGTGCTTCGGCGCTCCCTCCAGGTAGCGGTCGTGGGCCCGTATCGCATTGAAACAACGCCCGTGGAGACACATGCCTTTCCAATCCTTCTTGCTCGTGTCTGCGTGCGCAATGTCCATCTCGCAGAGACCGCACTGGAAGCACGGGAGGTCTCCAACATCAGGCCCCTCTCCCAGAATCTCCTCGTCCGCCACGACTGAAGCAGCCATGCTGCACCAAATGCCGCGGCAAGGAGGGGCAAGCGCTCTCACCGCCAGCTCCTGTGAGCCCAAAGTGGCTTGAGCCCAAGCGGTGTTCGGTCGTTTGCTTCTGACGCTCCAGTTGGGCCTTCATTGGGAGCACATGTTGGGGGCCTTCATTGGGGCAAATTTGGGGGGCCTTCAGCGTTGGCACTCTGCACTGACATTTGCTCTGGCTTTATGCCTGCCTGCGCACACCGAGACACGCCACTGAAGTACAACGAATACGTAGTCAGAAGACGTCAACCGCTTGCTACTGCCCAGGGTCTTTAACCTTCTGGAGGCCCGCTTCTGTCTGCTTGGAGTCTTGTGTTGCTGGGGTCTTAATTTGTTGCTGTCTGGTAGGCGTCTTTCGCTGTTTGGTAGGTGTTTGCTAGCAGTGCTGTCTGGTAGGTGGTGTGTCGGTTTCTGGTGGGTGTTGTGTTGCTGTCTGGTAGGTGCTTTTCTGTTGTCTGGCAGGTTTCCTTTTTTCTGTCTGGCAGGTGGTATGCTGCTGTCTGGTAGGTGTTAGTTTGCTTCCTGGTGGGTTTATGGTGCTGTCTGGTAGGTGTTCGTTTGCTGTCTGGTAGGTTTCGTGTACTGTCTGGTAGGTGTTATGTTGCTGTCTGGTAGGTTTCGTTTGCTGCCTGGTACGCGTTATGTTGCTGCCTGGTACATGTCTTTTGCTGTCTGGTAGGTGTCATGGTTGCTGTCTGGTAGGTGTCTTTTACTGGCTGGTAGGGATCCCGTGGATCAAGAGGAGAGAGGATGAGCAGTGAATCAGGACAATCAGGCGAGAGAGTTCTCCTGCAACCATCAGCCTGAAATATCTGCTGATGCCAGCGTCTTGGCCTCTCGATGCGGCCTCTGAGCGTCGCCGCACGATGCGGCCACATAACTCCAAACAGTCTACGCAGCTAGATGATTAAGCAGCTGCAACTTCAAACAAAATAAGATTCCCACCGATGCGGGCTCACGATTGTTGTCTGCAATGCGAGACTCACGATTGCCGAGTCCTCGGGCCCATATTGCACTCCACCTCGAAAAATACCTTGTAGTTCGTGCTCTCGACGGGCAGCTCCCGCATCTTCACTGGGAACCTCGAGCCCAACTTGTCGATGAAGCCCTGCTGGATGCCAACCGGGACGCCCCCCCACCTGTCCCAGCGGGACGCTGCCGTCATGCTCAGCTTCTCCGTGGTTGTTTTCGTCCTCAGTGGACGCAGTGGCGGCGACCGCGAGCGAGGAGCCTCGGCCGCCGCCGCAGCGCTCTTGCTGGCACTCTGGTGCTTGTCTGGGGGACGCGGCGCCGCTGCCGAAGCCGATGGCGTTTGTGTGATCCTGGCCGCTGCTGCCGCGAGCTCCGTCTTGAACGAGTACTGCGGCGTCGGAGCCTCACTGAGCTTCTTCGCCACATCGGCGAAGCGTACAACTGGAGGTGGCGCGGCCTGCCCCGATGAGGCACTGCCTGCTGTCCCTGGCGTTGGCGATGGGATATTGTCCATCTTCTCTGGGCGGGCTGGCTCTAGCGAGCGGCGATGCTGCAGCACTTCAGCTGGAATGGTGTTGGCGTAGTCTTCTGGCACCATAGAGTCCGTGAGGGAGTCGGGCGGCCCTTCCCATTGGGTCTCGCCCGATGGGAACATCTCGAGCGTGTCTGGCTCAACGGGCGGCTGCGTGCCATCCTCTGCGACGACGTGCTGCTTCGACTTTGGAGGCGCCATGACTTGGAACTCTGGTGCGTGAGCAGACAAGAACGCGTGGAAACTAGAGCACCGAGCCAAAGCGCTATCACGACAACCCTGGAACGGGGCGTCGGCACGCTCGGCGCCCCACGAAGGAATTGGAGGATGAGGAGGGGTCAGACGAGGAGAAGAGGATGACTGGGAATGCAGAGGCTACGTTGGGAGCTGTATCGTGAGCTGGGGCAGGACGAAGAAGAGGAGGAAGAAGGCAACTGGAGGGCCTGCCAAGGAAGAGGAGCAGAACCCCCGAGGAAACGCAAATCTGATCTGCGCCCACGACGGGGGGGCAGGCCGTGGAAACACTATACCCCAGAGGGGGTGTCCAAGGATTGAATCTAGAATCTCAAAGCGGAGCTTTAGTATGACATCATGCTTGGCATTGGGCAACCAGTTTGGGGTCCCACCGGACTGGCGGCGGCCGTTCAATAAGTCTGTTGGGGCCACGGCCTGCGGTGCAAACACTGTTTGGGGATCGCCGAACGACATCGGGGTGCAAGCACTGTCAAGTTTTCTTTGCGTTGGCGTAACCCTACTGCACGACGCCCACGCATACACGGTGACATCTCTAGTGTGCACCACAACAGACTACCACCACGCGCGCGTGTACCTGCGTCGTGCGCGGGCCCTATCGGCCAGCCTGTGATGTGCGCTGTTAGTTCCCCTTTGTTCCGCACCCCTGCGTGGCCATTTCAGTTCCCAAGACAGCGTAGCGGGTTGCTTTTTGTGGGCCCACAGACTCCACCGCGCGCGTAAGCCTAGCGTGTGGTGCGAGCATGTTAACGTCGAAACCCATCTGGCGACAATTCAGGGCCCGCGCCAGGTCCACTGCCAGCATGGTCGTTCCTCTGGTGAGGATAGTTCAGAATTGGCCACATGCGCATGCGCGCGTCGTGCGATGACCAAAATCAAGTGTCACGTGGTGGGCCACTGCTACCTGGCAGCCTCCTCTTTTCGAAGACGCCAGAGGTTTAATATTGGTTTGCAACCCACCATGGTACCTTTTGTAGCTTGGGGTATATAGGCCCCAGCACGCGCGCGCGTGTGCGCGTCGTGCGCTGTCCCAAGCGATTGGCTTCTCATGGGCCAAGGCTGACTTCTGCATCTACATCGGTAACGGCTGTAGGCTTCAGATTAGTTCATAGGTGGCATGGCGGGTTTCTGTTGCTGGTGTTGCAGAAGCCACGGGCTGCTGTCTCGCGTGCGCGCGCAGCGCGCTGACCCAACCTAAAGGCGCATAGTGGGCCATGCCTGCTTCCGAAATCCAATCGGTCACCGCTAAGGGTTCGCCTTGACTTCTGAGACAACGCCGTTGCGTCCGCACGGTGGGCAGCGCAGAGCCCACCACGCGCGCGCGTACGCGCGCCGCGTGATTTCCCAACCGACTTGCATGCGGCGGGCCGAATGTAGCGCTATGGCATCCTATCGGCCAGCGCGAATTGCCCGCTTGGGTTGAGTCGACGTGCCATCTGTCTTGTCGCTGGTGTTTCCGCACCCCGCGCGCGCGCGCGTCGGCGCTAGTCACTGATTGGCGCTTGATGGGCCCGCGCGAACGCTGAGCGCAAAATATGGGTTTTGGTGGCGTTTCACTCTGGTGCCAGAGCCAACTTTGCGACTTCCCGATTGCGGGCAACGCGCGTTCCACTTCGCGCGCGTACGGGCGCCGCGAGCCAGCCCCGACAGGTTCGCGTTGTGCCCGCGTGCCCCCGCTCTATTGCCCAACTGTTTCTCGCGGCTCATTGCCCGACCAAGCGCCTGAGCCGACGCGCTGACCCCCTTGGCGCTGGGGCCATGCGCTTATCGCGCGCGCGACGCGATCAGGCCCGCGTCGGCTTACGCGCGGCGCGCATGGGCTGGCGGCGACGCCCAATCGGCCACCCCTGAGGGCACCACTTCTTTTCCATTGCGGCGTGACGGCTTCTTTGTCGAGGGCAGCTCGCAGTTCAAGTCCCACTTCGCGCGCGCGTCCGCGCGGCGTGCGCTGCTGCCCATAGGGCCTGTTCCACGCGTGGCAGGCCCGCGGTGACGTTTGCGTCCACGCGGCCCATCGCCACCATCTTGCGGGCCCCACTTTTTGTTCCGAGGAGGCGCGGAGTTGCGCGAATTCTGGAAACAGCAACGCGCGCGCGCCGCGCAGGCAACTTCCCGAGATGCCTGCGCGCGTCGGCGCAACGTCACATTCGAAATCCGAAAACACCTATGCCGCCACTTGGAGGCGGTGGTTGGGGGGGGGGGCTTGCGCGAGTGCTTGGACCATCGTGGCTGATGCCGCGTTGGGTCGCGCGGCAGAGGCCACCGCCGCGCGCGCGTGCGCCGCGCGCTTACATAATCGGTCGACGTTGGGTGCACCAGCCAGCGGTGGCCCGCGACAGATGGGCAGTCATCGCTAAGTGGGGGCTTCGAATGTCCAAGGCAGCGCTGCGGTTATTAATTCTTGGAGGCCGCGCGGCCCAACGCGCGCCCAAGCGCGCGCGCGTCGTGGGCCCGCCGCTCGGCGGGCGCGCGGTGGGGCCATGCGTGCGCCGAAATCCGAACACCCTCCGCTTCGGGTTCATTCCGAATTCCAGCAGCAGCGCGTCGGTCTCCACACTGTGGGCGCCAGAACCCCACGACGCACCCGCGGCGCGCGTCTTTTGCTGGCCCAGCAAGTTGGCGCGCAGCGGGCCACCGTCAATTTCGAAAGTCTAGCGCCGCCCGCCCTCGGTTCATTATGGCACCGAAAGCAGCGTCGCGCGTCGCGCATTCTCTGATGCGGAAAGCTCGGTGCCGCCACGCGCGCGCATATACGCGTGGCGCGTTGGTCCACACCGAACGGCGCGCGATGGGCATACTATATCAAAGGCAACGTCAGGTCCCAATCGGCCACCGTTGGTGTCGAGCTGCGGTTTCCAGGCCGTCATGGTACTTTCGCCACCGTTGCGGCTGCAGAAGTGGCGTCGCGCGCGTGCGTGTGCGCGCCGCGCGCTCGCGCAGCCGACTGATGCGGGGCGGGCGTGGGTTAACTCCCCGATGCAATGCCACGCAGCCAAAGGCTCGAACTACTGTCCAGGCCGACGTCGCTTGGCCTCCGTAGTGGATGTCGCAGAAGCCACAACGCGCTTGACAAGCGGCCCGCCCGTCGCGCGGGTCGCCCGCAATCCGTTCCGTCACCGCTGAAGTTTCGCGATGCTGCCCAGGGCAGCAGCAGGGCACCTTGCGCCTGTTGTACTGCAGCATCAGCCGCGCGCGCGGCGGTTGACCTTAGCGACGCGCGGGCCACCCGAACTCGAGCTTTCCTCTTGGCCGCCGCGAACGCACCCATCAGTTTTCAAATCGGCACTGTGGCTTTACACTGAGGACGCCGCGTAAACCCTTGCGCGCGCAGAGGGCGATCCGCCCGTTGCGCGGGTCGCCCGACAGCCGTGCGGTCATTGCTCGGGCCTGCATATTAGCCGTTGCGCTGACACTGCGAAATCGCGATCGTCGGCGACGCAGTGCCCGCTGCGAGTGCGCACCGCGGGCAGCCCGCCCCCGCGCGGTTCCCCCGAAATCCGTTCGGCAATGGCCAGGTGCTCGCGTTGGCTTCCAGGCCACCAGCGTGGCCGATGCATTGCTGATCGGCGAAGGCGACCGCGTGCGCGGTGTGCATGGCACGCCCGCAGCGCGGAATATCCGACGGATTATCGCCCGTTGTTGCGGAGCGATTGGCAGCCGAACGATCATTGCAACGCGTCATGCGCGCCCGCGCCCCGACAGCAACCGCGCCCGATGGGCAGCGTGCCAACCACGCAAAACCTATTTGCCATTGGTTTGACACGCTCTCGCTGCTGCTGCATCTCAATTTTACATGCGTGCGTTGCTAAGTGATTTAGTTGTGGTTCACGGGTGGTGTATGTGAACTCGGTGGTTTATGTGTGGTTTATGGGTGGTTTATGGTTGGTTTATGTGTGGTTTATGTGAACTCGGTGGTTTATGTGTGGTTTATGGGTGGTTTATGTGTGGTTTATGGGTGGTTTATGTGAACTCGGTGGTTTATGGGTGGTTTATGGGTGGTTTATGTGTGGTTTATGGGTGGTTTATGGGTGGTTTATGGGTGGTTTATGGGTGGTTTATGGGAACCCCCTGGCGCAGGCCCAATGCTTTTCGCGAGGGTTCTCTGGCTGGGTGCAAAGGAACCCTGGCCTCGCCAAATTAACATTCGTTTTCCAACAAAGGAACCGCCCTGCCCGTGGACGCTGGCGCAAGGGAACTCCCCGCGGCGCCGTCGAAAGCGCAAACCACAGAGGTTCACATAAACCATTGAGGTTCACATAAACCACACATAAACCATTCGCGGAGCCCCCCATCAAGCATGCATCGGCCATCGCGCGCACCACGGCATGATGTGAACAAGACACGACGATGGCCTTGTCCCAGCAGTGGTTGCAGAGGCGCAAGATCGGCGCGACGGCAGGCGTCATGGGCGCCTGAAATACGGCGTGGGGCTTTCGCGGTGGCCGAGTGCAGCGCAGGTGGCGCGCGCCCCAGGTGGGCTGCTCGCCGCGCGCGCGTTGCGTGCCGTGCGCTATCCATGATGGAGAAAGGTTCGTGCTGGCCTGCGCGCAGGGAAACGACCTTGGTGGCGGCAGCGTTGGCTATGGGGCTAGCATGAGGGACCGCATGTTAGCAGATGGGGTCGGCCAGGGGCGCGCGCTTGGTTGGGCCAGGCTGTGGCGCGCGCGCGTGGCGGGCCTTGCGCTGATCGCTGGACATGAAGCGATGTTCGGGCCTGGGGAGTAAAGTGGGCGCTGTGCGGTGGCCGCCTGGGTTCCGATGTTCACGTGGCCCCATCTCATGCCTAGCGGTTTGGGCCAACGCGCGATGCGCTTGGCGGGCGTTGCGTTGTCCACGCCTGGGAAAGCCGCCATGCTGATATGAAGACTGGCATGCGCCTGGAGCGGTGGCCGGTCGGGCTGCTGACGGCGCATTCGTCGCGCACTCGCCGATCGCGTGGTGTCGGCTTGATCAGCACGTGACGCGCGCGTGGCTGGCCTTGCGTTAGCACCAGTTGGTGCGCAGCCACGTGGCCCGAGAAGCTAGAGTGACACCCCAGGCGCGGCCGA